AATGTTTTTAATAACAATATTGGATCACAGACACAGATGTGGGTTGACTCGAGGGTTGACTTGAACACAATTTTCCCAAAGTTCTTTTATTATTTGAATATTTCCATTTATTTAATTGTCTTGGGCCTTGGCTTGTGTAGGATATCATTCGATCAAATAGGTATAAACGTTCAATGTTTTTAATAACAATACTGGATCACAGACACAGATGTGGGTTGACTTGAACACAATTTTCCCAAAGTTCTTTTATTATTTGAATGTTTCCATTTATTGCCACTGTTCATTACAATGTTCATGGTCCCTTTGGCTGGGCTTGTGACCATTTTGAATTTCTCTACCGAATATAATTTTATGCTGGTAGCTATAGTAAAATTTCTAATCGCATAGTGAGATGAATATTATTTGAATCGAAAAAAATCAAAATTATAAATTATTGTTTGTTTTGCCAATTTACATCAAAACTGAAGATGTACCCTCCAGAAGCCAATACAAACACATACATTATGCAATGTAGATCAGTCAAAAACAATTATCGATCATAGTATAAAATGGTATACCGCATGTCCTGCTAATCCTAATCATTCATGAAATTAGCAGAATTTTTTGTATCAACAAACTTAGAAAAGCCTTAACAAAGTTCTAATTGTTATTTTGTTTTAGCTATGGTAATCCACATTGCACAGCAAATATGGTTTTAATATTAATATGGTAATAATTAATATGGTAATTGCACATTGGACAGCCTTGCTTCTTCCATCATCAGAAGAGATTCTCAACTCACCTGATGTGTTGCCTTGGCAAAATAGACATTTATCAGAGGAATAACTGCGCTAGGAGATATACTTTCCTCCTTACGTTTTGAACCAGATGAGGTTGTTGAAGCCATTGACAATTGTGTGCCTTAATATTTTTAATACTGCATTATTATATTTATAACATGTACTATGAACATTAAAAATTCAACACTACATTAAATCAATATTTCTTTGCCCCTCTCAGAATGAAAATATAATTCGAATTGTTTGGTGTCTTGTATTAAGACTATTATGTGCTACAGTGATTACATTATTTTAACTTGACATGTATGAAAGAGACAAATCAAATAGGGGTAATCATAGTTTCAAACAAAGACACCCAATAAGCTATAAAAATATCAAGTATCCAAGCGATATATGATGAAAACTATTTTAGTTATAACAATAATAAGGAAATAATATGTTAATAAATATATAATACAAACTTTATGTGTCTTCGTCGCCTGTTTTGTTTGATAAAAACCTTGTTTCAATCGATCTTTCGAGCAAAGAATTACCATTTTATTGCGCATTATTTCCATATCCTTCGGCATGCGCGGGCTCAGTTTTCTAGTTAAATCAATCCTATTGGTCACAATGAAATATTTTGACCAATCAGAATGATTATTACAAACGAGTTTGTTGCCATGAACACCGCGGGGATAGAATTTCACGGCTTTTACAAACAGAGCCGCGGCACTGAAATTTGACAGAATAATCACCAAAATTAAAGGTTTTAAAAGCCGAAATAGAGCGGGCAACCTATATAGCTGTGTTTGTAATACTTCAAGCTACATTTTGGTGGTGGTTGCCTGCTTGTAACAAAAAATGCCATCGGATGTGTTTTATAAGCACTTTTTACGCGCGTGGCTGGCCGTCTATATAGCCGTTCAGCAAATTACGAAAAGTTCAAGAGATATTCAAGATCTTGTGGATCGGATATGAAATTTAGATTCTTCGGCCAAGCGGTGAGTAATTGTTCCGGTTTGTATCACAGTCGAACCCTTATTAAACGGACACCTTCGGCCCCTCGCCTAAGTGTCCGCTTAAAAGGAGTGTCCGCTTAAAAGGGTCTTAATACAGCAGGAGGCAAGGGTGTATAATTAGGTGTGTAATTTGAGTATATAAAACAAGTAAAAAATATTTAGTAATAATTAGCATAAAATGAAAATTTCTTTGTGCATAGAAGTTCATTAGAAAATGTATTATACGTCTCTCACTGTCATATAAAAAAGGAATCGATACAAGTTTGCTTTCGAGGCTCACGCAGAAGATAGCCCATTGTAATGTCATTTACATAAAAATTATGTTGGAAAGTTCTTCCAAACCTCAAAATTGTGTGAATTCTGGGCTTCGAAAGAAGATTTAATGACTGGTTCGTTAATAAGAGAGCAGTCAAATTCATTATCTTCGTTCAGTTCGTTGTCATCATCAGTGATCTGACACATATCCTTCGGCTCCTTGGCTAGCGGTTCACAGTCCTCCGTCCTCGTTCGTCACTTCCTCGATAATCTTGGCTCTGATCTCTTCGCGCCAAGTTAGTGCATCACTGTCAATGTGCCATGTAAATTGATCTGAATTGTTATTTACTGCTGAATATTGAACACATTTTATCAGACAATCTGTCATCTGTCCGCTTAAGAGAGGTCGGTTTGCCCATTGGGACTTCAAGTAAGGTGTCCGCGTCCGTTAAAGAGATGTGTCCGCTTAATAGGGGTTATGATAATAATATTTTATTAAAGAAAACGAATGGCACCTGAGATATGTGTCCACTTAAAAGAGGTGTCCGCTTAAGAGATGTGTCCATTTAGAGGGGTTCGACTGTATTTTCTGACGGCACTTGATCCCCAGTTCGAAATTTTTTTTTGTGAGGATTACAATGGTCGCTTGGCCGATTGCAATTGTATCTCTAACGGCTGCAGGAAAATGAGTACCTGCCACAGAAGTGTTCACATCTCCTTCCGTACAAATTTCATGGTCAGCTTCCTCGAATCCTCAAAGGAATTACTTGGCTCTATACTGTACGTGGTTGCTCTGACCGATTCGGCGCGCAGTACCTAGTACATGACGAATAGTCTCAATGGTGGCTACATAAACGTCCAAGATCGCACACCATCTTTCACAATATGGTACAGGAAGTCAACATTACTTGGTTAAACTGGTTGCCAAAGGAAAAGATGCGAAAGTTGAACGTGTCGGTTGGGATGGAACCGGAGGCAAAAGCTACATTAAATACGATTGGAAGGTTGGTCAAACGTCAGCTGATAATCCACGTCCGAGGATCAAGTCAAAAACCCGTCAAAGCTATACTCATTGGTTGCTTCTGTATCCAAATACTAAACAGCTAGTGAATGTTGCATCATTTCAGGTACGTCCATTGGCAACGAGAAGCACGTTTTATTTTTATTTTTTTTGATGATTGATTAGAAACGGAATCGACGACACAGAGAAAGGCGACAAACGTGGATTAAATTCGGCAGCAGATCTTGGGTACAAACATCGGTTGGACAAGCGACAACCACAGAACCAAAAGCTGAAAGCCGAAACCTCTTCTTGTCTGGTGACGAAAAGCGAATCGGAATGTCAACTGGGACACAGAGTTGGTGGATACATCATCAGTGCTCAGATACCCCCTATTCCATCTGTTCTTTCATTGATTTATTTAAGATGGGGATCCCGCAAATTAAAATTACACTTGCATGAGTGATCCTTCTCAGATTTTGCTTTTTCTAGATATTTATTAATAAGATAGAAATACTATTTTAGAAAAAGTGTATTACGCGATTAAAAAATTGGATGGGGAGGAGGGTGGGGGCACTCGAATATTTGCCGGAAATAATCTACATGAATATAACATATATATTTTCTCATATACAGGGTTTATATAAAAAACTGAACAGATTTGAAATTGCTCTCAATTTTGCAAAACACTTATTTGGTTTTTTATATACATAGTTTCTTTAATTGGGTATTTATAATGTAGAATAATGAAAAAAAAATCTCGAACCAAATTTCGTGAACCAGGGGTGTGTGTCTTTTCCAACAAAATAAAAATGGCTCGCGCACAAAATTTAAAGGTTGTAATCATATTTTAAGTTAATATATGGATTCAGACAATTTGGTTTAGTATAAGCCCTTTAACTATTCACGCAAAGTTACATTTTTCCTAAAAATCAGCTATCTGCATGCATGCTTAATAAATATGACAGCAATATGCAAATTAGGTAAAGGCATTAATTAAGCATGCAAAAGGCTGATTTTTTTATAATAAAATGAATAGTTAAAGGCGTTAAACTAAACCAAATTGTCTAAAATTTTGTACAGAAATTCAAAATCCAACAACTGTTCCATCTATTAACTCGAAATATGATTACAACTTTTAAATTTTGGGCGCGAGCCATTTTTATTTTCTTGGAAAAGACACACATCCCTGGTTCACAAAATTTGAGTTCGAGAATTTTTTTTCATTATTCTACATTATAAGTACCAAAAGAAGCTATATATAAAAAAACCCCGGATACAAATAGATGTTTAGCGAAATTGAGAGCAATTTGAAATCTGTTCAGTTTTTTTTATACACCCTGTATTTGCCGTATTTTTTACAACTCGATCTTCTTAGCATTTGCCAGAATTTTCTTTGGGGTGGGTTGGTGAGTGGGTGGGTGGGTCGTCGGGAGTTATTTATAGGGCCGTAACTAGATGCGATAATTGGGGGGGGGGTGAATATTCATATAATCGTGTTCACATACCGTAAAAAGAATCGCTTTCAAAAGCAATCCGTCAGGCAGGACACGAATGTATGAATATGCCTCCACCCCAATTATGGCTTCAAGTTACGGTTATGGCATCAAGTACGGTTACGTGTATGTAAATCCAAAAGTAAATAAAATGCAAATATAAGGACAAAATATAAACGACCGCGTAAATAATGAACTGCAAATAAGAAGATCATGAAAATACTGTGTCGATACATTGTTAGAGATAGTTATCATTATATTCTTATTCATAATGTTGTATCATCATGCACAAAATCTTTCAGTAACAATCAGTTGTGGTCATTGTCCTGACTATGTAACCTGGTTTCCCAGGAAGCTCGCCTCTGGAGGATGAATTGTTTCTCTGTTGACAGGACTGTTTTCATTCCACCTACCGCATGTAGCTTCGGTAGGACGACTGTAAACATGCATGGCGTCTTCGAATTATTTTTGTTGTAATTAAACAAACTACGCCATGGATCATGAATAACATTAAACGTTTTAATGTTCAATTTGAGTAAACGCTGAAGTAAACACTTGCGAGTTGCGAAAACAATTTCAATTCCAAAAATTGAACGAAATCTGACAAGACTACGACGATGTGTCAGTATTTACAATTAGCGCGTGAAGTTGAACGAAAACTTTTGATTAATATTGAAACAAAACATCTCATGAATAAAGCGAAGTCAAATTTATTTTATCGACTTCGTCACTCTTTAACCGGTCATAAGTCATGATCGTTAGCTTTTCAATAAAAACAAACACAAAATTACCTAAAAACACTGGAAATCCCTAAGCATTTGCTCTTTTTACATTTTTGGTGCAGTTACAACGATATTGTCCTCATTAACCGAGCTCGGTCAACTGAATTCACGAAGCTCTTAGCATTACGCTATTTTTGATAGAAATATGGGCTATAATTTTAAAAAAAACGAAGTACAGTAATACCGCATAATAGTGCGCTGTTGCTTTATGAAAGGAACTCACGTGGTACAAATCGGCCAATAGAAGCGCAATTTAGGAAAATGGAATATTTAAAAAATATACAGTTTCCTGTGATCTCCTGTTATTTGATACCCATAGAATATCGCATGTTTTATATTGAGTGCGGGAAAGTGGATTGAAAGTAGTAAACGGCTGCACATTTGTAGCAATTTGAACATGTAATTAATCATATTTAAAAAAAAGAATGGAGAATGCTAATGACTAATTGTGTTTTTTTTCAATCGCCGCCTATTTACCCGTATTAAAGAGCATTCTTCTCTTGACTCTTCTGAAATATATAACCATATTACTAGCTGCAATGAATTCAATTTTGTAGTAAACCTACTCGAACAAACACCTAATGACGAAGTTAATAACATTAAATGTTCAGTAACAGATTTTAGAATATTTACTAACACTAAGATAATATATAAATCCAATCACTGGTCGTTGATACTTTACCAAGGTCTATTGCTATTAATAGAATGAATCCGTCAGTAAACCATGGCACTAAAGTCTCTAAAGAGCTATTAATATTTAACTAATCGTATCTTGTTATTTCACTATACAGTATATACTTGTACATACGTAATATCATCATCATTCATTTCCTGATGATGACTATAGTTTAGTCGAAACGTCGAAACAAATTTTCAAAATGCTTTCAATTTTCGGACTATCTATTCTTTTGTATTTTATTTGTTATAATTATGCAAATATTTTGCTTATTTACTCTAACAGAAGACAACCATAGAAATCATAAAATTCCTATCCGGCTGCGCTTTGGCCGCGTGTTTGGGGCAGAATTTACGGGGTGCAGCTAGAAATACTGTCAGCCAAGATAGTGTATTTACTATCTTGTATTTGTGCCTTGTTTGAGCAAACCAGAATTACCTTGGTGGAGAGCCACTTTGTCTGACAGGTAGTGCAATATTAACATTGGCAGTGCCTATAAAACGGCTATTCCTAATTACTTGCTATTTTACTCCATTCTTTTAGCCTATTATAAAATTTGGCGTAGTATAATTTTACTACTGAAAAATTACCTTTGCATGAGCATTTTGATCGGGTCCTTCAGCAGCAACTCTTATTTCATAGTTACTGCTTAAACTGGTCTGAGCAGTAACTATTGCCCCCCACCCCCCAAATGGCTCAAAATCAGCAGACGGAAGTAAATTGTGCGAATTAGGCTACATATATTCATAAAGAGACACATGTATTACTTGTATTTATAAATAAAACTTTTTCAATACTGTTAAATCGTATTATAAGTTTGATAGCCATATTTCTAGCTTGATTTAAACCCATCTATACAAATCCGCAAGTTTTGAAAACTTTGTTTGTTTGGGTAAATTTAACTTAAAAAGCTTCATCGCAAGTTCTGTAAATACTATTAAGGTGCGTAATTTAAATTGCGTGTATAAAAAGAAAAATAGTTATTCAGAGTTTCATAAAGCTTTTCCCAGGTGCTATCAGGAAACCATAGAAAGCAAAATAGAAACACCGTTCACCCCAAGGTGTCCTAAAATGTACAATTAAAATTGTCACTGATATACAATAGTCTTATTACCCTGGCTGTAAGGACACCGATGCTTGCTTAGTGCGATGAAAACTATTGTCTTGAATTTTTTTAATTTAAATTTCAAGTTTCAAGCTCTGTAAATATATTGAAACTTGCATATATTGCATCATTACAAAAAAGTTATAAAAGTTTAATAAAGCCAATCCCAGGTGCAAACAGGTGTTTTTTATTAAACCATTTAATTAAAGCACAATAGTAACATAGTTCATAACTCCTATAACCCGTGGCGTTCTAAAATTTTCAATTAAAAAATGTTAATTATTGTAATAGACAATGAAACATGATTCTTGGTACGGTTAAGGCTATGAAAAATAACTTACAAACCTTGATCGCAATTTTTTAAAATATATATAGTTCAAAAGTTGCATATATTTCACGTAAAACTATAAAATCGTATTAATTCACAGGGGAATATTAAAGCCTATCCCTGGTGTTACCAGTTTTTTATTAAAACGTGGAAGGCACAACTGAAACACTGTTCATAATTCCTACCCCATGTAGTCCTAAACAGTTCGACTAAAATTATCAGTCAATTTTAGGCAATAGTCTTATTAACTTTTACGTCTGAACGAACGTGCATGAGAACACTGATTCCTGCTTATTGCTGTGAAAATAATTCAGGTAAGTTACATATAGTTATGGAAATGTCAATGTATTTAGTTACTGTTTATTATTTACTTCGCAGTAATAAAATATTATATACTATTTTAAAAGAATATTGATTTTTCAAACTTAATATATCATTCAGGATTTATACATCGCAAATTATAAATATATTCAGTCCATTTCCTTCAGACTAATCATTTAAGAATATAAAGAGTGCATGGATTGTATAAACTGGATTCCATTTCTGTACAGTTAAATGTTAATAATTTCAAAATTTGAAATATTTTGTGAAATATAAATTAAGTTTTAGTTTTGTTGTATATATATATATATATATATATATATATATATATATATATATATATATATATATATATATATATATATATATATATATATATATATATATATGAACTAAAGATTGTTGCTCAAGCTTGTATTCAGAAAATATCTGAACTCCCAACGGGAATGGAACCCGTGTCTCGCGATTGCCGTTTCGGTTGTTTTACCACTAGACTATAGGGTTTCAGACAGCAATGCGATGTTAAATAGAGACCTGGTTCCTTCCGTTTATATGCGTCCTTTGTACTTAAAGGCTCATCATACTATTTTGTAATGCGATATTGTTGTGTTTGTGTGTTCATATACTAAGACTAGTACATGTT